GGAAAAATAAGAAAGCGGTGGCCGCTAGTGCTACCGTGGTGGCCGGTTAGGGCAAGAAATTGGGGGAAGAAGGAAGATAGGCATGGACGCTAGTGCTACCGTTAACGGTGGCCGGTGACCAGCGTTAACTAGTTCTTGGAGAGGATGTAAAGGGTGAACTGAAGGTTTGAAAGAATCGCCTCCCGGGCCACCCAATGGAGCGACACAGGAGTCCAAGCAACTAGTTTTTGTTGTACCGACATGCACTAAATTTATCTATTGTATATGTTATTTTGCTATAAAATATTGTGTGAAGATGACAATAATACAAAACTCTCGGTTCTATATACCCATCCAAGAAGATACTATAGAACTTTTGATTTTGATTTATAGTGCAGCCATGACCTGCCGAAAATATGATTGTATGTTCAATGAAAGCCACGTAACCAGGTGATAACAATCCGGCCCAGGTGGGGTTGGCCGAGACCCAATAACTTAAGGTTGCTCGGACCCCAACAGTTCATAGGCACACCTACTCAGGAAAATGCCCAATCTCCCTAAAAGACTAGTCCAATAGGGGAAGGGTGGCTCTCCCTTTTAAGGTGGCTTCCTCCTCCCAAGGTAAGCAAGGTGGGATTATTCAAAGGCTCACACGGTCGCCGCCCGACTTTAGCGTCTTTGCCAGTGGGTAATAGTGGAGGATGTCCTCATCAACAGGGAATTTCGACGTTGTATATACGATTGTAAAGCCAAAGACAAAAAAAAACCTCGCTACAAGCTCAATAAACATGTTTTCCTATATGTCCGTGGTTCGGAAAATTTACTTCTCGAAATAATTTTTCTAGACTATTAGAATATGTGTCGAATATACTAGTTCTATTTGGTTATAGTTGGACTTGAAGTTGTAATAAGTGGTAGGGAATAGAGTTAGAGTCGGACTCTGTAACCCGACATCTCTCTTAAATAGAGAGCGGGGCACCACAATGTAACCATGGCAACTACAATGTAGCGTACACATAAGGAGAGGATGGTGGCAAGGCCATGGACTCATAGCGACTAGGTGCTATATTGATTGGGGATGAGCGCCCATAATCAGAACCCCGGGGATGTAGGCTTCGAATGAACCTCGTTAACAAATATCGTTTATTCCTGTGTCGTCATCTGGCATGATTTGGGTGATAAATGACTGAAGCGATCGGGAAGGTTAGTCGTCGTTCTGCTATATCGACTAACTTTTACAACATGTGGTATCAAAGCAGAATGTTTCAATATTGGATCAAGAAAACATGTGGGGGAGGAAACACGAGGTGAGGACTGCGCATCGACAGGAGATCGTCAGCCGTGGCAATGAGATCGATGGCGACAACGAGGACTTTGTGGAGGTGACGTCCTCGCTCGCGATCAGACCGGCGATGGCGGAACGTGACTGGAAGACGGGGCAGGGAGTGGCCAAAGGCGTTCGGAGAGATCGGAGGGACGGCGCCCAATGCACGCGGCGATCACAGATCCGCGGAGGCAGGGAGGCCAGTGACGGAAGGGCGAAGCCGGCGAGCATGTGGCGCAGCGCGGCAGACGTGCAGGGCCGAGGACGATGTGATCGTGGATGGTGGACATGAGGGCTGTGACTGCAGTACGTGCAAGGGCACGAACAACATATATGGAGTATGTGCTATACACGAACTAGTGATACACGCGAGGAGCTGAGGTATATGTTGGTATTTTTTAACGACATTACTAAAAATATAATTCCCAGCAATGGCGCAGAAATATTCCTAGTATATTATGGTTACAGAGTTCATCTGCAAGCGCACGGATATACCATTGTAGCATTTCACTCGAGAGTATTACAAGGGTATCGTATTTATTTAATCCCGTGAAAAGATCATAGTAGAGAGAACCTGACTAATAACTTATATGTTACTTGTGATAATCCAAGGGTAGATTGACACACATGCAGGGAGCTACTCATTCTCATACTAAAATATCTAAGCTAAGTGGGAAGAAAATAGAAAGAGAGTATATTCATATACTTCTAGTATACATAGTATACATACATCCTAGTTAACTGACATACTAGCTAATACCCTCTATCTGATGCCCTCCTGGTACTTCGAGAAGCCACCCGTGACTGCCAAGTTCCTTACGACAGCCCGTCATGACCATACAACCGAGGATAAATACGGAGGAGTACCCTCCCCAGGAAATTAACTTAGAACTATATACACGCGTGGAGGAATACCCGTACTGAGCTGTCACCATTAGCGGCCCACATCTCATCCGCAGCATATAACCCCAAATAATGATATCCCGTAATCTAGACACCACGCCTAAAGTACCAGATACTACTCTAATATCATCGTCATGACATAGAGTAATTGCATAAGAAAACACTATACTCATACCAATACATCTCCCAGATAAGCTAGCAGTATAATCAGTATAACATGAACATAATGTAAAGTTGGCATTCATATACTCGGAAAGTATTCCAATACCATAAATGTATAAAGAAGAGTATTCTAACAAAAGTACAAAGCTTACGAAAGAAAAGAGAAGAGCTACTGGAGCCATACCCGAACTCTTCCGAAGGCTTCCGGACTCCGATTTCTACTCTATTCCTACTCCACTAGCTTGAGAACACTAAACTAGCTTGAGAGAATATGATAGAACTTTGCTTGAGGTGTGTGAGTGAAGTGAGAAAGTGAAGTCCTTAAATAGGCAGGTATGACGGTTGTAACTGTTGCGAAATATCTAAAGTATCCCGCAACCGTCATCAGGAGAAGATCTAGAGCGTCCCTACCAAACCCCACATCCAACGGTAGAGAGGTGGGTTCAGCTAAACCCGGTTCGGCCGAACCAGGGGCCGGCCCAACCAGCCCACAATTTGGCTGGTGGTCTCCTGGACTTCTCTTCCCCGCAGACTTGTAAATTTTAGCCTAATTGGTCGCGTCATTTCTGAGTTTTTGGCCCATTCATACATAAGTTTGATTCTCGACATCGTCCGATTGATTTATCGTCTGGTTTGACGATGTTGATTCTTCTCCACTTTTATGGTTATTCTCTGTAAAAGGTTAGTGAACCAAATACTAGTGAAATATTATTATTCTAACATGGATACGCATTGCAAGCATAACTAGTTCTCTATTTTAGTAATATTTACGGTCGAAACTAATATTATTCTAACATGGACGTGCGCGCCATATGCTGGAAGATCACCAACTGGTACCTGCAAATTATGTGCCTGAACATGCATGCTGGTCTGTTGATGCACATAAACGTGCATGTGCATGTGCTATGATCAGGGAGGGCATCTGTTCATGCATTGAGAAGGACGTGTCCGGGTGGTGCATATGCATGTGTGGGCAACGTTTGCTCGTATACTTGATGAGAAGCCAAGCAGCATGTTCGGTACAAGACGGGGGTGTCACGTGGAGACTGAGGCCGACTCGGTCCTAGCCTCACAGGTCACCGGTGCAAGAATACGGACCGTATTCCAACAGGGTCAACTATCCAAACTCGGGTACTGATTGGTTGAACGGTCTTAAGACCTCACGGCTATGGAAGCTTGAAGGGCAACTGTGCGTCCCGACGGAGACCGATCAAGGGCTAAGCTAAGGTGGCTCAAGGCGAAAGTATGCAGGCATGGGTGGCCGGATAGATCAAGCCGACAGGGCAGAGAAACAGGTGCTGGACTAGTTGGATTGCAGAGTTTGGCTGATCAGACCAGTTCAACAGAGTGATGGTTTCGATCAAACGAGGATGGGCCGAACGGTTCGATCAGATTTGGCTGGTTAGACCCAGGGGCAAAGCCGGTCGGATTGATACGTGGGGCGAGTAGACTGGTGGCAACAGGCTAGTCAGATCGCATATGAAATTATCTGGCGGAACATAATATATCTGGGACTCGATGAAAGGTTGAGATATATGGAGTTGGTCCAGAATTGAAGAAAAGGTCTTGGGCAACAGCGGGTGAAAATCGTTGAGGGCGTCAACGGCCTGTTTAGCAGTACATGATATATCTAGAATCTGCGGGGTTTGCATGATGGGGATATATGAAAATCTACGTCACTAAAAAGGAAGAGCGAAGGTTGTCATTGTAATTCTTTAAGAGATTCGAGGCAACAGTGAACTTCTCAATTTATCATGGAGCTCAGTCTAAGGATGCGGAAAAAGCGTGGATGGATTTATTAGCTCAGTTCATAAAACTAAAAGAAAGAAAGGGTTTCTTTATCAGTCTGGTGAGTTTGATTTGTCTATTTGGTGATGACGGGGGTTGTTTGGCTATGGATTATGTCAAGTCAAATTTAAGATGGTAGATGGAGTTGAATATGGTCTTTGAGAAGTCTATGATGTGACAGCTAGGAAAGGTCTAATTTCGCTTGGCAAGACGGCTGTGATGATAGGAGAGAATGTGAAGCACTGTTGCAGGTGGAGTCCATCTAAACAAATTGCAGGGATAGCGGAGTCTGTTGAAAGCGGTGGGTCTGGCACAGACTCGTCGAGCGGCTCATGGTGAAGCTGCGAAAAAGAAGACAACCCAAGTCTGGAGGACCGGTGGATCGGCATGGTGATTCTACTACTTCTAGGTGACGTATATTCGCCAAGGTAGAATAGGTGTCGAATATACTAGTTCTATTTGGTTACGGTTGGACTTGGAGTTATAATAGGTGGTAGGGGATGGAGTTAGAGTCGGACTCTATAACCCAGAATCTCTCTTAAATAATGAGGGGGCACTACAATGTAATCATGGAGACTACAATGTAGCGTAGACACGCAGGGAGAGGATGGTGGCAAGGCCATGGACTCGTAGCGGCTAGGTGCTATATTGATTGGGGAGGAGGGCCCATAATCAGAGCTCTGGGGATGTAGGCTTTGGCTGAACCCCGTTAACAAATATGGTGTGTTACTGTGTCGTCGTAGACATGTTTTGGGTGATTAATGACTGAAGTGATCGGAAAGGTTAGTCGCCGTTCCGCTATATCGACTAACTTTTATAGCATAGACCGCGAAGATTCTACTCTACCAAATGACCTTCTCACAATCACAAAAATCATCATCAGTTGCGTCAACACACAACACAAGTACACACACAACCGTTCTGTAGCCGCAGGGGAGGGCAAAGCAGCCGCGACCCGCGAGCAGCTGTTGCTTGAGCCGAACCAAAACCAAACCGGACATGAAGCGGGCCGTCTCCAGCATCCGCAGCCGCGACGTGGCCCACCTCGCCGCCGCCGCCACCGCCCCCTCGCCAGCGGCGGCGGAGGCGTGGGACGGGCGGTTCCGGCTGCACAAGCCGCGGGGGCAGCACCTGCTCACCAACCCGCGCGTCCTCGACGCCATCGTCCGCCGCGCCGCGCTGCGCCCGGGCGACGCCGTCCTCGAGGTCGGCCCGGGCACCGGCAACCTCACCGTCCGCCTCCTCGAGTCCCCCGCCGCCCGCGTGTCCGCCGTCGAGATCGATCCGCGCATGGTCGACGCCGTCACCGCCCGCGTCGACGCCCTCGGCCTCGCGCACAAGCTCACGGTTCGTCTCGCCGTGCCCACCATCCGCTCGATCAAATGCCTCCAAGAAAGCTAACGGGGCCCCTCCTCTCCTTTTTGCCAGGTGATCAGGGCGGATGCCGTGGAGGCCGAGTTCCCGGAGTTCGACGTGTGCGTGGCCAACATCCCCTACGGGATCTCCTCGCCGCTCATCGCGAAGCTGCTGTTCGGCCCCTACCGGTTCCGCGCGGCGACGCTGCTGCTGCAGAAGGAGTTCGCGCGGCGGCTCGTGGCCGCGCCGGGGGACTCGGAGTACAACCGCCTGGCGGCGAACGTGCGGATGGTCGCCGACGCGAGGCTGCTCATGGACGTGAGCAAGAGGGACTTCGTGCCCATGCCCAAGGTGGACTCCTCCCTCGTCGAGATCCGGCCGAGGGCGGCCGAGCCCAACGTCGACCTCGCCGAGTGGCTGGCCTTCACGCGGTCGTGCTTCGGCCAGAAGAACAAGACCCTCGGCGCGATCTTCAAGCAGAAGAGGAAGGTCTTGGAGCTCTTCAGGAGATCCCGGTGCGCGGAGGAACGCTGCGACGGCAATGCCAATGCCGGTGGCGGCAGCAGACTCATCGCACTTGGCGGTGGCGACGACGACGGTGACATGAGCGACGGCGACAGCAATGAAGGCCACGACGGAGCACCCAGCTTCAGTGAGGAAGAGGTCGCCGTGTTCAAGGCGAAGATCACCGGTGCGTTGGAGTCCTGTGAGCTCGCCGGCAAGAGGCCCTCCAAGCTGTCGAACGACGAGCTCCTGCGTTTGCTCAAGTTGCTCAATGAACAAGGGGTACGGTTTCAGTAGCACTTATATCCGATCATTGCTCGCCGTTTTTCTACCTCAGCGAGCAGTAGAGCCAAGAACAAGAAGATGAAGGTTGGCATGTTGCAGCTGAGGTCAGGTCTCCTGCCATCCATGGCGGCCGGTTGCCACATCAATACATCATGTTCATGTCAGCCGTCACTGGCAGCTCGTCAGCCACAGGACGCCAGATTACTTCAAGTATGCTCGTCAACCGGTCGATAGATGTGTTCGGAGATGTGGAGAAAATGCTTCAAGTCTCAAGCATTACATGCATGCAACTGTAAAAGCAGTGTGCTACTGAGAGAGACATCTTGGATGCTAGAGGAGCATTATCCATGGTTTCCACATGATTGAGCACTATTTGCCAAGGTGAAGTTGGCATAACATTTTTATGATGTAGCACATGTTAGTAATATCGCCAGTTTTCATCGAAATCAAGCAACAGTTCATGGTAATGACCGAGCAGATCATTGCGTATGGACAGTTTATAATCAGATGCTCGATTCTCTGCAATTCTGCATACTTTCTGTAGAAATACCTCATCCGCGTTACTAGCCAAGGCACAGAAAGCATGACCAGTGAAATCATAGGTCATAACATACGAGTCTGGCATTAAAGTTTGTTTCTCTATTGTTTCCTTTATCCGATGCAACCATTGTCAATTTGTCCTATTTCTAGAAAAGAAAAGAGGTTGTTTTCAGCTGTTGTGTACTGTGCTACTATGATATTATCATGCCAATATGCCATCAAAAGCTTATACACTGTTACACATTTCTACTAGGTGTATAAAAAGCTCTTACTATCATGTTATCAAATACTTGGTGAGTGGAAATGCTAGTTAGTTTAACCCACAAAAAGATAACACTTCTGCAAAAGATGGAAATGAAAGAAACATGTAAAATCAATTGATTTTCAAAACCCTGTAGCATCCATCATCATCATCACACCCCTGAGGCACATGATGATCAATTTACATTCGTAGGTAGGCTGGTGGCATTACAATGATCCAATAAAAAGCGGACAGATGGAATTAGATTTTAAAGCTAAGCTGGTATCTGACCGACAGCAGAATTCCAGCTGAACATTCCATTGGAATTGCGAATCAAAATTCACAAAAGTGAACCAATGAGTATTACATTCTATTCCCAGACTGAAGGCAGAAGCATCAGATTCAGAAAAGCAAAATTCTTATCATTATCATGGATCATCATCACAGCCCACATTTTCTTAGTTAATACACACCGAAATTATACAATTTTACACGCTAAAAATGCTAGCTGCATTCAAGTAAAACCTAGCCATAGAATTGTGACAAAAAGAGGAAAAGCTAAAAGGCCAAAAAAAAAAGTGATAAGAAAGTTTAGTCCTATACCATCCACAAACTCCTTATCATCGTGGCGGCAGAGACGAGAGGAGGAAGAAAGGAAGGAAAGCATTCACCTCATCATCCCGACGACGGCGACGAGGGGAAGGCGTCCTTGACGGCGGAGGCGGCGGTGAGGTAGTTGAGCGTGTTGCGGAGCGTGTCCCGCTCGCGGCGCAGCCTGGCGGCGGTGTCCTCAAGCTCGAGGAGCGCCTGCTGCTCCCGCGGCGCGCCCTCGAAGGTGTTGCCGACGTAGAAGGAGAAAGGGGTGGGGAAGAGGCCCCGCCGCAGGTCCCCGACGTCCTTCTCGGGCTTGCCGTTGAGGCGGTTGGCGATGCGTATGACGTCCCGCATGAGGGCCTCGACGTCGGTGGCGAGCGCCTCGGCGTCGTCCCCCGGCGCGGGGGTCTCGGCGGGCGGGCGGTCCTCGAGCCACTGCACGGCGGCGACGAGGTAGGGCTTGGTGCGCACGACCCGCGCGACGCGGAACCGCTCCTGCCCCTTGCAGATGAGGAAGAAGCGGTCGTCGGCGAGGCGCTCGTGCTTGACGACCTCCCCGACGCACCCGACGTCGGCGGCGCCCCCGGCGCCGGACCCGGCGAACACCACCCCGAAGCGGAGGTCGGTCTGGAGCACGGTGTGCATCATGATGCGGTAGCGGAACTCGAAGATGTGCAGCGCGTGGGTCGCGTCCGGGAACAGCACGAGCGGCAGCGGGAACAGCGGCAGCTCCACCAGCCCGTCGTCCGACTCCGCCGGCTGGTACGGCTCCGGCGACGACGGCGACGACCCCGACCCCGACCCCGACGCGCTCGCCGCGGTGGCGAGGCGGGCCCCTCGCCCGCGTCGGGCCGGGGCGGAGGAGTGGAGGCGGGGCGCCGGGCGGAATGCGCTGTTGGGGGAGGCGGCCGCGGCGGCGAGGCGCGGGGAGGGGAGGATTTGGGGGAGGAGCACCATTGGAGGATCTCTCTATCCCCCGCGGCGGCGAGGCGAGGGGAGGGGAATGGTTGGGGGGGTTGGATTTTGCGGGGTGATTTCTCACCGGGGGTTTTGGGGGAAGAGGCGAGCCATGGGAAAACGCGATGGATTTTTTTTTCTGTTCGATTTCTTCTTGGAAGGATGGATTTTTGTTCTGGGGCCCACGTGGAAGTTGGAGAATTGATTGATAATGCGGTGGGGGTGATGGCGTGGAGGAGTCCACGTTGGGGGCTTATCCACCTGTAGCTGGGTGAGGCTACGAGAAAGCCTAGAACTGGCAAACGGGCTGTCCCGTTATTGGGCCGAAAGAACTAGCAAGGAAACAAGCTCACTTTAGATCCCTCAATTTGTCTTCCAATCTGGAATTGGTCCCCAAAGTTATAAAACCGAATACAACGCTTTTCCAACTTACAAAACCAGTGCAAATGTCCCCGGTTTTAACTGACGTGACGCCTACATGGCTCCTTTGACTAGATCTTCGTCCCATGTGCAAGGGCGGATCCAACGTGGGTGCAATGGAGACTCGAGTCCCCCCTACACCCACAAGACTCATGGATACCCCCGGAGCATCCCCTTCGATTTTTTTCACCATAAATAATAAGCTAAAGGTCTCTAGATGGTTAGAGGTTGAAGAAACTATGTAATTGAGCCCCCCCTCCAATTTTTTGTTCCTGGATCCGCCCCTGCCCTGTGGCAATGACGTGGCGCTTATGTGACAATTTGATAAAAAAAATAAAAGACTAAAAAGTTAAAACAAAATATGTGGGACCCACATACCAGTCAAACAAAAAGATAAAAATAATGGGACCCATATGTCAGTGGGTTCAATTTCCTCCACCTCACCCTCTCTACCTCTATCTCCTCTCTTCACCGGTGAGCCGAAGCCAGGCGGAGAGGGAGGAGGTAGGGAGGCTGGACGCAGGTGGCGAAGAGAAGGGCGACGACGAGTGTCAACTGATCGGGACAGAGATATGGCTGGGCATGAAAATGGTAGGGCACCGACAACTTCTTGGCCCTCTTACTCCATCACCAACATCCTCGTCACCTCCATCCTCCTCCTCGCCATCCCCTCCACGGTAAGGTAGTAGTGGCGGTGGGCAGCCAGCGAGGAGGAGGGACGCAGCGATCCGTGGCGAGGAAATGGGAGGCAAGGGAACTGGAGAGATCGAGATCGCCATTCCCTTCATGTAAGGTGGCAACAACGAGGAGGGGCCCAGGAGTGGTGTTGGCGACGGTGCGGTGGCAGTGTTGGTGATAGTGTGGGAGTCGAAGATGGAGGAGAATTGTCGTCGGGATGGAGGAGAACCGCCACCACCAGCGCTTTGTGACGTCATGCGCTGCACGTAGCACCTACTCCGCATCACCGACACCCTCCTCCCACGGGGGCACCAACTCCCTGCTCCTGCCGATGCTGACACCCTCGTCTATTCCTATATTTTCCCCATATTAAGGACGACAACCAATGGGAGAAGGGCGGCACACGATGGGTTCCGGTGGCCAATGGGAGAAAAGTCGTGCGGCGCGCAGCGTCGGTGTTTAGAGGGCTCTTGAGCATGCGGTCGCCGCCCTCGCGCTAACGCACGGAGAAGGACACGACATCGCACTCCTAGCAAAGGAGCCCGTGCGGCGGGACCCAGCCCCTGCTCCCGTGACCCTCCTCGTCCTCGCTCCCCCTGCGGCGGAAGAGGAGCCGAGCAGCGTGTGACGGTAGCGTCGAGCGGGACCTTGGGCGTGCGGCCATAACCCTCGCGCATGAAGAAGGACGCAGCGGCGCACTCCCAGCAAAGGAGGAGCTCGTGCAGCGGGACCGAACCCTGTCCCCGTGGCCCTCAACCGGAGGGATAGGACTCCGCCTCGGCCTCCTCCTCTCCCATAGCACATTGCTCCTGATATGTGGGGTCCACCATTTGTTTTGTTTTGGCTGAATTGCCTTGATATGTGGGTCCCACGCTGACTCAACCATCGTATCAGCCAAAACCGTACATTATACTACCTTGGGACCTCTAGTACACCGCTTTCACAAATTAAGGGACACAGTATACCTAGTATTGCACTTAGGGGATGAAATTTAGACTTGGCGACACAGTGAGGGACCTAAAGTGAGCTTTTTCCGCTAGCAAGCCTGGTGAGTAGAGCGTAGTTCAATTCACGGGCTAACGGCCTGCTTGGATACGAATTCCATATATATATATATATAAACTTCATCCCCACTAAATGTATCTAAAACCGAACTTTGGCTTGGGCCTTGTAATAGACTAACCCATCTCGGAACTGTCTTCCTCCACCTCCCACGAATCAGCTCTTAACTCTAAAAAAACAATTGGGTTTTATTTAGTTAAATTTTGCTAAGTGTCATTCACCTTGTCTTTAGTTCTCGCTCGATTAGTCGGTGACTATAGATTCAGAGCCCTTAATAGTCGGTGTGTTGATTTGCTGGGTTGATTAGATCTACCACTTCAATTGTAACTTTTTTTTATGCTTAATCACCTATTCACAAAATTTAGATTGCATTTATCTTCTTCGTATAATGTTCCCTCGATTGCATTGATTGCACTGTAAGGATCATTAACCGTGTGTTATTTTTTTATGCTTAATCACCTATTCACAAAATTTAGATTGCATCTTATCCTGTTCGTACATTGTTCCCTCGATTGCATTGCAAGGATCATTAACTGTGCGTCACGGTTGGTACGACATTGTTTGTGGTGTAGCGATTGCATGGCGTCTTGGATTTGTTCTGGTTGATAGCCACGTCGCAAGCGTCAAACTCGATCAAAACGAGAGTTATGTACTCATAAGAAGATTAGGCCATGAGAGAGAACATCATCACTATCTTAAGTTAGTTTGTTAGATTGCGTCTATTGAATTAGCTGATCCATAGGCCAAGGGACGAAGTTTTGCTTGTTAATTTGCTGCCAGCACCTATCCACAATTATAACATGACAAAAAGCTCCATAACCAAAATTTTTTATTTAAATTTACCCTTACAATCCTCTGTTATTACTAGCTACAAGTACACACGACGACCCAAATTACCCTCTTCCTCCGAAAGAAGAGAAGCTTTCCAGGATTAACCCGCAGTAGCAGCAAAAGCTATAGATGCAGCAACTGCATCTGAACCCTGACCCCGACCCCTTCCTCTGACCTCCCCGATTCCCAACTTAACCCATCTCACCCTAATACTAATACACCGGATCATGGTCGTCGCCAAGTCGATTGCCATTGGATGCCAAGAACAAATGATGGCTGTGCCGATCGGGTCTCTCCCTCATCGGAGGCTGTTGACGAAGGCGAGGAGCGAGTCGACGTCCCGCTTCTCCGACGGGTACTTGATCGGCCTCGCGGTGCGGCTCGGGAAGAGGAGGATGGTCGGGAAGCTCTGCAGCTGCAGCTCCTGCTGCGCGAACGCCTTCTGCTCGCCGTCGGCGCGGAACTTGCCCACCTTCACGCCGCCGCCCGCGCCGCCCAGCCTCTCGGCGAGCTCCAGGTAGGACGCCTCCATGGCCTGGCAGAAGGGGCACCACGGCGCGTACAGCACCACCAGCCACGGCTCCGCGCGGCTCTCCAGGCGGAGCAGGTTCTCGACGCCGGCGCGGGTGAGGCTCACCACGCCGCTGCTCTCGAAGATGTCCGGCGCGCCGGCCGACCCGTTGCCGTTGGCGCCGCCGGCCTTGTGCGCCGCCGCCGCCGCCGCCCCACCCTGGTCGTCGATGTTCCCCTTGTGGAGGCCGCACTCCTTGGCCTTGGCGTCCTCCCACCACCACCGCCCTTCCCGCTCGTGCTGGCCGGGAAGCACGGGCCTGGTGCACGGCTCGCACCCGATCGAGACGTACCCCTGGGCGTGCAGGGCGTTGACGGGGACATCCATGGCGCGGAGGAAGGTCCACACGTCCTTGCCGTCGACGTTGGCGACGGGGTTCCACTTGACGAGGCTGCCGGCGCCGCCAGCGAGGCCCTCGAAGGAGGGGTCGACCTGGACGACGGGGATGGCGGCGCGGGTGCCCGGGGACTGGTCCTTGCGCTGGCCGGTGATCCAGGCCCTGAGGCCGCGGAGCGCGCGGCGGAGCGGGCGCACCTTGCGGGCGCGGCAGCACTCCTGGTGGCCGTCCTCGTAGAAGGAGAAGAGGCCCTTGGCGCGCACCAGCGCCTGCACCTCGCCGGCGTCCGGGAACATGTACTCGATCCGGATCCCGTAGTGCTTCTCCACCTTGTCGAACAGCTGGTACGTCTCCGGGTTCAGCCGCCCCGTGTCCAGGCTGAACACGCGGAACGGACGCCCCGTCAGCTTCGCGTACTCGATCAGCGCCACGTCCTCCGCCCCGCTGCAAAAAAAAAAAAAAACGCGACGAGATCTCGATCAGTTTTCATTTTCAAATACCACCACACTCCCAGTTGTGGGTTTATATGTTTAATATTTAACCGATTATTTTTTATCATCAATACTTTTATAGTTATTAGATGATAAAATATTTATAGTATTTTATGCGTGATTTATTTTTTAAAATTTTTATAAACTTTTCAAATATGACGGATGATTAAATGTTGAATACCGAAACTCACAAATACACATAAAATATGAATAAGGCGACCGATCAAATATTAAACACATAAATTTATAACTACACTTAAAATTTGTGCGAATTTATGCTCCATTTGATTAATCCTGCATCAGAAGTTGCCTACACGGCTAGGCGACAAGTTAAAAGTTGCGGTATACAATTTGTTTGGAATCTCCTAAAGGGTCAAAGCATAAATTATCGTGTGGTAGTGGAGCAAACTATTCTGTCTGCTTGTGCGTGGTTGGTGGGCCATGATTCTAGAAACAACGTGGCGAAGGAGATACAGTGAACCTGGACACGGGCATAATCTGATGTTTTGCTCGAAGGTGACCTATGTCCAGGTTCATTGAACCGGGCACTTATAACGGGTTTTGCATTTCCTTTACCATCACCCACGAATCCAACGTGACCGGTTTTAGATTTGTAGTACTCCTATTTTAGATAGGACACGAAATTTAATGATAAATCTAAGTTGGAAGCAAGAAGCAACTATCGTATGATACACTCACTGTCGTTCAAATCATATTGAACATATTTATACATCTGCGGCTGAATTTTTTCGAAACAAAAAGTTATATACTCCTACTATTTATCCCTAATATAATAATCCTAGTCCCATGTGATGGAAATTTTCTTATTTTCCTAAATCGGAAATATTAGCTGATGTATGACAATAACACTATAAACCGAAACGTCGTCCAACTACCTGTCAGCAAATGGGTCCCACTTGCCAGGGACACCGTAATGATACAAAATACTCCTATGAAACTAGGAATCTTCAGGACCACCCGTTGGATTTCGGAAGATACCGTGATGCTGCAGGACTAACGGGATTAGGCGCTCAGCAAGAAAGCGCCTAGCCCCAGTGCACCGTGAGCCTAACGGGTTAACGGGCGAAATTAACGGGTACGGATCCATCCGGCAACGAGTAATGTAGTACCTGAAGGCGATGGCGATGTCGGATCCGAACATGGCGAGTGCCCGATCCATGATCTCCAGCGGCGACGCGCCCTGCAGCTCCTGGGCCAGGGCCTCGTAGTCCACGGCCGGAGCAGGGGCGTCGACGGCGGCGGCGGCGGCGTCCTCCGCCACGGGCGCGGCGGCCGGCGCCGCCGCCGCGGAGGCGGAGACGGGCTGCCTCGCCGGCTCCGCCGCGCGCAGCGGGCGCACCGCCCTCGCGCGCTGGGCCCTCGCCGCCGCCGTGCCCGCCGCCGGGGCCGCGGCCACCTGCTGCTTCACGGCTCCAATCCTCGCAGCTGCACAGCCAAAAAAAAAAAACGGAATACAGAGAGGAATTTTTATAAGCAAATAATTCTCGCCTCAAATGAGGATGAATCCCCAGAGAAAACAACGCATTTCGCTGGGAGAAATTTTTGAACGAGCAAATCAGCAGTTAATTCCCGATTTTTTGGACGATATTGGAGCTCATCAGAGTAATCCTCAAGCTTGCAAACTTCAATTCCACAGTAAACACTCAAATTCGGCTAAATTTTTACGAACGGCGAGCTTGGATGCGCGAGGGAGCGGAGATCGAGAGCAAGAAATTCTCACCTTTGAGGTCGCGGAGGGCGACGGAGTGGGACGAGATGGAAGCGGTAGCGGAAGCCATCACCACCTCCGAATCCTTCCTCTTCCCTTCAAAATTCCGACAAAATTTGGAAGCAGGAAATGTTTTTTTTTCTTGGTTTTCCCTCACTTCTGCGAGTTTTCTGTGGCGTACGGGGGCTAAAGAGGAGGGCGGGTTACATATAGCTCGCGCGGGAGGCTGGGTTCAATGCACCTGGACGGAATCGGGAGCGGCGGACGGGAGGGACACGTGTCACGGCTTCATTGGCTGGCCGCACGGGGAGGGGGCGATCGAAGCAGTGGCGTCACGCGGAGCCACAGGAAGGGCCGCCCAGCCAAGCCAGGCCAGCCCCGGTGGGGGCCACGTGGCAGCGTGGAGCGCTGAGCTGGCCGGGTGTGTGGCTGCCTCGCTCCGGTTGCGACCAAGCCGGCCAGCCACCTCACATGCCAGATGCCACGCTTGGCATTGGTAATCTTTGGTTAAATGATAAAGGGAAATCATGTTCGTTCGTTTCTTATTAACAATACTACTGCCTCTCTCTGTACCAAATAATTTCAAATAATTTAATTTATGACATGATGTTTCTAGTTTAATTAAGTTTATAAACAAATATAGTAATATTTATAATACTAAATTAGTTTCATCAAATCAACAATTGAATATATTTTCATAGTAAATTCGTTTTGAGTTAAAAATGTTACTATTTTTTATTATAAATTTGATCAAATTTAAAGCAGTTAAAATTTGACAAGAGTCAAAACGTCTTATAAACTGAAACGAAGGGAGTAATAGTTAAAGCTCAATTAATTATGCGTGTAGCTTTATTATTTTTCATACTCTAAACTTCATTATCTAAGATATTTTTTGGGAGGGTATATGGAGATTGGAGAATAGGTTATTTTTGTTGGAATGTTGGGTTGGCAGGCAGCCACGCAGGCGGAAGAGTAAAGCCACCTAATACATGCTAACGGCATGACTAGTTTAGAAATGATGTACAAAAACAAATATGCCAACGAAAGAAAGGATGTAAGACGCCAAGAAAATAAGAAATAATTATCATTTAAGTTAATGGAAAGATAGCGTGAGGTACTAGGAGAAGCAGCAAAAGTGTGATGGTAGGATGCCAAGTGTATGGCTCATCTTTCGTACAATAAAAAGGTTTTATTGTGAGACACTTCTAATTCTGTTTAGAAATAAATATACTTAATCTCTACTATTATAAAAATTGAAGATGTTTTTTTTTAGTATTTTGGTACGTCATCCGTATATGAGTCGGTTTTTAAGTTCGTTCACTTTTGAAAAATACATATTTGTATTTGAGTCGACTTTTAAGTCCATTCGCTTTTAGAAATACATAACGAGTCATATAAAAAATCTTTTAAAAAAAACTCCCGTGCTAACTTGAGACGAACAAACTCCTAACTGCAACTCATGATTTTTTAAAAATATATAAATATTCAAGTGAATTCTCATAGTAAATTTTTACCTTAACTAAACCATATAACAATATAAGATTAAAATAGCCTTTATGCTCACAGTAAATTTTTACTTTAACTAAACCATATAACAATAATAAGATTAAAATAGCCTTCATCACGAGTATTTTTTTTCTAGTTATTACATAAATACGAAGATATTGATCAATCTGGGTTGCATAAATAATTGCCTTTTAAGAAAGTTGACTGATTAGCATCATGGTGAAAATCATGGTAACATTTTATTATCCCACACAAAACTTTACCTGATTGGTGGACACCTAAAAAATATCATTTTTTACCGGGCATATTTAATATTTTAAAGACTAACAATCAGTTCATACTAGTAAGGACGACGGTGTAATTAGGCATTAATCAACTTGCATACGTATATCTCTACTCTACGCACCTAGCCATGGCTTTACTTATCTGTTTCTATTTTTATCTCAAAACGTCAAGGTCTTCTTTCTCATCACAATATTTCCTCTCTTTTTTATTTTTCAATTCGCGTAGACGTCTCAGTGTCACCCACACATACATACACTCTGACGACACTAGGAGATCACTCCATTGTGTTTACATACAAGCTGACGACACTGAAGTCACTAATCATGTTAATTACGATCGAGTCGCACCGGAACATTATTAATTGCATCCATCACTGTCACGGCATGCGTTAATTAAACTTTAGCAAAGATGCGAAGATTCGTTGCAGCTGGGAGAAGCCGAGGTGGATGGAGCCGTCGCAAACTCGCACATCATATATCATTGCGAGACTTTTGGACCTTTTTGGATCGTCAAAATTTAGCAGCCATGAAAAAAAAAATCCAAAGGATAGATTTCTTTTGCCTGTGGATGCAGTATGACGCCTCCTTCCGATCTCTCGCTGACAGGTGGGCCCCAAAAGTGACGATTTGCCAATTGGTAGGGACGGCTCTGGGTGGGATGCGAGTGATTGTCTTTGCTTGCGTTGGATGGCTCTTGATTGGTCTCCGGGGGCGTAGGTCTCTTTGGGGTCAAATATGGCCGGTACAACTTTAGTAGTACTCCACTAGTTGTAACTTGTGGAGATCCACAAGTAATTATAATTTCTTTTCCTTTCTGGGTTTTCTTTAAGTTGTTATCCCTCTCACCAGTTAACACCACTTACAAGAAAAAAACACTTTTGTGATGCATAAAGATGCAGACGAAAGAAAAAGACAAATTAAGGGATCGTAGAGTTAATAAAAGTGTGGCATTGCTCAGCGTTCATGGTCGTTTTCTTATACGGATATTGAGATGGCAACTTGAGTGCCTAGTTGCAATATAAGAATCTGTTTAGGTTGATGTAATTTTGAACCATACTATTTTTTAAAATTAATAAACATGTGGATTCATCATTCATTTAGTTTGTTCGTAAATATAGGCATTGCTTAAAGAATTTTGGTAACAATATATTTACTATAATTTACCAAAATATAACAATGTTGTCAACTTACCAAAATTTTGGTAGGGCCCCTTTGAATCAAAGGAATGAAGAAACGGAGGAATAGGAAAAATATAGGATTCTGACAGGAATGTAAGACCCCCTTTGATTCAAAGGAAATTCATAGGAATTTTAAAGGATTCTATTACTATAGGAATTTTTCATACAAAGCCTTTTGAATCAAAGGAATGAACCCTATGGAATCCTATGAAATTCCTATGGAATGCCTCTTCCCATACAAGTTTTGGAGGAATTTTAACTACAGGTAGAACTCATGGAAGAAATCCTTTGAGTCTTTATCTCTCCTCAAATTCCTGTATTTTTCCTGTGGTCCAATCAAACGGTCATTCCTATGTTTTTCCTGTGTTTTGCAATCATCTGTTTTACACTTACATTCCTGTCAGAATTCTATGTTTTTCCTATTCCTCTGTTTTTCCATTCATGTGATTCAAAGTGGCCCTCAAAGGATTTCTTCCATGAGGTTCTAGCTCTTGTTAAAATTCCTCCAAAACTTGTATGGGAAGAGGCATTTTATAGGAATTTCATAAGATTCCATAGGGTTCATTCCTTTGATTCAAAGGGCTTCGTAGGAAAAATTCCTATAGGAATGAAATCCTCTAAAAATTTCTATGAATTTCCTTTGAATCAAAGGGGCCTAAAAAGGTTTATTTTAAAAGTAATCTGAATAGATCCTAAATCTTGTGTGGCTGATAGCTTAAACTCTATTTTTCATTTTTAAAAAATATTTCGCAGTTTTTTTACATGAGAAATCATCTAAATTTGACAACTCGATTGTCTCAGCGAGACCTCTGAGAGTTCAAAGCCGTGGGTGATATTTCGAAGTTTTTTTAGTTGATCTCTTAATTGTTCGCAAGTTTACATCACACGTTTATACATAAAATTAATAGGAAAAAAAGGACTAAAGATATGAACAACAAGCCCATGATACGATGATCCGTTCTTCAGATGGAGAAACAAAAATATGCCATTTCCGAGGTACATCTTTGTGTGTCGATATCTCAGGCAAACTAGCCGTGTGTTTTGGGTGGTGGACAGCTTGGGTTCATGTGTACCATTTGTGCAGAACAATTTCAGCAAGGAGTGAGGTCCAAGGGGAGTGTGGACAACACAACACGCACCACATGGGGCAGATTCTCCAAATCCTTTTCACTGCTGCTGCTGTATGGACCTCGAGGACACATAAGATATTGTGGTCTGTCCTTTTTCTGCGAAAACTCGTAGGCGACATTTCATTTTTCCTACCGAGGCCTTATTTAGATTTCAAAAAATATTGGTCAAAAACATCATATCAAATGTTTGGACACATGCATGAGACTCTAAATGTGGGAAAAAAACCAATTGTACAGTTTGCATATAAATTGCGAGACGAATCTTTTGAGCCTAATTACGCCATGATTTGACAATGTGATGCTACAATAAACATTTGCCAATAACGGATTAATTAGGCTTAATAAATTCGTCTCGCAATTTACAGTTGGAATCTGTAATTTGTTTTGTTATTAGTCTACGTTTTACATTTAATACTTCAAATATATGTCCGTATACTTCAAAAACTTTACATCCAAAGAACTAAACACACCCTGACTTGCCTAGCTATTATTGATGGTATGGAAAAAAAGCACTTACATCTTTGTCTGCGAAAATAAAGAATATCAATGTATTTCAAGGGTATATTCTGTACAATAGTACTGTACTAGTGTACTTTCCTTTCTACAAGCTAGTATGGAATAAATCTGAGTTCGACAGCGCCCGTTGGGAGCGGGATGGTGAGGTTGGTAATCCGTTCGGATTGCTCACGTGCTTTTGACATACTGTAGATGTTGGACGGAAGTAAAGCCGCGCACGACGCCGTTTGGGAGGCCCACGATTTCTATGAACAGTACATGAACAGTGCGCACTTGCTACCAACCACAACCACAGGCTCCCAACCGACGCTGTCAAACTCAGTCTAAACCTAGTTTGATGCCTTTAGACGCTATCCCTAAGTAAAAGTTATGTGTGTTCTCTACTAGACCGGCCTCCTCCCTCCCTCCCCCTCCTGTTCACTAGTTCTCTTTTCTATGCTTGAGCGATGGTGAGATACCTTAGCACCATCTGTCTTTTTCACCTTCAGTGGCTTGCGCCGCCAAGACATCACTAGTCGTTTCTCTTATATATACATTATACATTTGATTCGTCAGCGGCATCGACCTTGCTGCTCGCATTGTT